AAACCTGCCCGAACACCTGCGCCTGCATGAGACGATGGCCATGGACCGACCAGGGCCTGTCGAAAGCCTCGGCCCCCCTGGGGAGGGGCTTCGCCGCGGCCGAGAGGGGGGCGGACGAGCTGGGGGGCACCCCCGCCCGGACTGCAGCGCAAATCTTTCGGGGCTGGGCAGGGGCGCGGCAACCGCGGGGCGCTCGCGGGCTGTCCTCCGCTCGGGCCCAGCAAGGAATGCCAGGCGCGGCCGGCTCCTGTGGCGCCTTGGCCGCGGGGCCCGCTCGCATGATGCGCGGCTTTGCCGTGCCCGCAGATCCTGGCGAGCCGCGCCGCCTGCCTCGGCGCGTCGAACTCTCGGGCGACTTGAATGGCCACTCTGCGGCGCCCCCCCGCCGCGACATCGCCCGGCGGGGCCCGCTGCGGGCGGTCGAGCACGGCCCGCTGGAGCTCGGCCGACGACGCCCGCGCCTTCGTCTTGCTCCAGTTGAGCGGGAGATTCTTGTCCTCCAGCATGGCGACCACCCCGCCCGCGAACTTGGCCACTTGGAGGATCGGCGCCCCGCGGGGCCCGACGCCGTGGCCCGCGGCGCCATCGATGGCGCTCGCCACTCTTCCGGCAAATAGCAGAGCGCGCCCCTGGAGCAGCAGGTCGCGCAGCATGAGCCGCTCCATGGCGGCGGCGCAGGCGCAGCCCGCGATGGCGGCCCCATGCGCGGAGATGACATCGCCCTCTGCAGCGTCGGCCGCGGCTCGCCTCGGACGCGAATTGGCCGCGCGCGGCGCCCGCGCCAACCCCGCGCTGAGGCCCTGCGCCTCAGCGGCTCGCCCGAGGATGTCGTGCCCTATCCTCTCGTAGAACTTGCCGATGTTGAAATGGACTGAGGCGCCGTCGAAGCCAGCGGCCCACGACAGCCCGAGGTTGAGGTTGCGCAGGTCGGCCGCGCGGCCGTAGCGCGCGTCTGAGCACTGGCCCCGGACCTCGGGCGGCGCGCGGCCGGGCCCCCGACTGGCGCAGCAGCGTCGCCCGATGCAGCCCCAGATACGCGGCCGCGCGCGCATCGGCCCGATCGGGCGCCGCCCGCAGGCTCGCCCAGAAAGACAATTCTAGCCCGGCGAAGAGATCTGAAGCACGCGGGCGCCCCCCCCCACGCCGTGGAGACCTCGGCTAGGCGTTCGGCGAACGGGCGGCCGAGGTGCGCGAGGGGGCCCCGGGTGGAAGGCGCCCCAGCCGAGGGCGGTGCTCGCGGGGAACGACTTCGCAACCTCGAAAACTGCAACTCCGTCGCGCCCATCCTATCAGCGGGTCGCGCCGTCTGACCGCGCCCAGGCCCGCTCCGCAAAGCCTTCCATTCAGCGAAGATACGATCCAGCGCCTGCTGCCCGACCAGCGGCGCGGGCAGCCCTTCCGCGAGCGGCTCGCCGAGGGCAAGCGCCCCCGTCGCGGTTGACCTCCTCGATGACAGCATGGGCCCCGCGCCCTACTCTGGCCAGGGCTTCGCCCGCAAACTCGCCCCGCCGCTCCCCATTGCGCGCCGCGTCCGCCTTGACATGGGTTGCCGTCGCAGCCGCGCTGGCTTCCTAGGGCCGCAACCCTTGCCGCGAGTCCGCCTGCGCCCCTGCCGGCGCGGAGTTCACGCGCGCGCCGCTGAACGCGCTGCGCCCCTGCAGGGCGAACTGCCGTGCAAGGGAGAGGGCGGCGCGCTACAAGTGCCGAGCGCATGCTCCGTGGCCCGCCGGCCTGCAGACTGCCGCCGCCGCAGCCGCCAGCTGCTTCGCCAGGCGGCCTAGCGATATCCACAGGCGGGTGAGCGGGCTGACCGTCCACGTGGTCTCGGCTCTGTCCAGGTCGACCAGGCGCATGCAGACCCGCCTGGCGATTTTCTGCCCGGCATCCTGCTCCTCGATGCCGAACATCTTGGCCCGGCGCAGCTCAGCAACCTCGTAGAGCTCGCGCGCGGCCTCATCGGCGCGGCCTGCAACGTCTAGCAGCGGAGCCTGCCACCGCACTCTTTTAGCCGCCTCGTCTGCTGCCTGCCTGGCCTCCTCGCCAACGTCCGCGGTGACGTCGAACTTTTTTTCTGACTGCAAGACCCGCGTCTTCGCCTGGGAACCGAACTCGCAGAACTTCAAGCGCACCGGCGCGCGCGGGCGGGTCGTCGTGGGACGCAGCGCCTCCACCTGAGGGCTCAGGGCAGCCAGCGACGCCGGTATCATAAAGTAGCGAGACGTGCGCTAGCCGCATGTGGGGAGCGCGGGGACGACCACCACACCTCCGACAACTCTGGGCGACCAGGAACTCTCGAGAAAGTGGGCTTCCGTGTTCTGGCAAGGATGAAGGGTTCCGAGAGCCCACAAAACAAGAACTGCAAGTCCCCCCAGCAGGTCGACGTTGTATCTTCGCAGCCCTGAAACATGTTCTGGGCAGGCACTGACCATGACTACGTCTGGGCCGCCGGTGGTCACTCTCATCGCGACAAGCCTCGCGTAGTGGGGCCACCGCGCTGACACTTCGGTGGGTGCTCCGCCGAGAAGATGGCCACACCAAACGATGCTGTCTGGGCTGCCGAACCTGTCCTGCGGCAGGGGCTGAAAGCAGCATGCAGCCCGTTGCGGACCCCCCACCCCCTCGCCGAGTCTTCAGCCTGCTGAGATGTGAAACGGATTTCCTGCAGCACGAAAACGTCGGCTGTGGCCCCGGCGTTCAGCAGGTCCTCGATGGCGGTGTGCTCCTTGGCCCAAGTGGAGCCGTTCAGCGTCACGATGCTACCCGGCGAAGGCCGCGCCCCCGACGTCGGGGGTGGGAGGCACTCCGCGAGCGTGAGCACCTTCTTCTTGTCCGACTGGCCCTTGCCCGAGACCACGACGCCCTGACACGGAATGGTCACGGGGCTTTCGACGGTGAGGGCATTAGACAAAGAACCCTTAGATAACGAACCCAGGGTCTGGAACCTGATGGAACTCCAATCGTGGATTGGCCATGGATTTCAATGCCGCCCTCATAAGATAAGGAACCCTCCATGGTCTGCAGCCCCCTGGGCACCTTCCTTAACGAACTCACCACCGCATCGTGGTCTCCACTTGGCCTTGCCACATTCTACATCTATATACACTCACGCGACCTTTCCTCGATCTCTACGGCGTGGCGTTCCTTATAATGCAACAGCTGAAACTCAGATGGAGGCCGGCTCCTCTTTCGAAACGGGGCTCTCGCGTGAGACTTCCGCAAAGCATGTGTTCACGGCTTTCACGACTTTGGCATCCTACAACGCTTAGACGGACGAAAGGCGCATTCTGTTCAAAATGAAGCTATCTATCCCTGGACCTCATTGACGGGCTCTCGTGCAGGACTTCCGCGGAGCATACGCCCACGACTCTGACATCTTGCAACGCTTAGACGGATGGAGGGCATCTGCTTCTCAAAGGTCGGGCTACATTGGTCGTCCTCCTAGCGGAGGGAGGATCCTTTACAACAGGCGCCCTTGTCTTTCTGGCATACCGACTGGCCACTCGTGATTCGAGGGGTGGCGCCCGCAGTGGAAAGGAAAACCTGCGTGGACCTATGAGGAGGGGCCTTGGGACAGGAGGGTGTCTGGCGGTCTTACTTGATGCGTCTTGGGTTTATTGTACTCTGGTCCTCCCTCCTCCCCCTCCTCCTCCTTTTTCTTCTCCTCCTCCTCCTCCTCTTCCTCCTCCTCCTGCTGCTCTCATCCTCTTTATCTTTCTCCTTCCCCACCTCCTCCTCCTCCTCCTATACCTCGTCTTCTTCTTCCTCCATGCCCTCCTCCTCCGCCTCCTCCCTTTCCTCTTCCTCTCATCCTCTTCATCCTTTTCCTCCCCTCCCTCCTCCTCCTCCTCCTCCTCTTCTCCTTTCGTCCCTTCACTCGCCACCTTCACCACCATCATGCTCCTCGCCTCGCCCTCCCAGCCCCCCTCACCCTCCTGCGCCTTCCTCGACACCTCCCCCTCCTCCCCCCCACCTTCCGCATGCAAGTGCCAAGAAAACGTCAGCACGCCACACTCTACACATCCCCACACTCACTGATCTGTTCTCCCCCTCCTCGTTCTTCTCCTGCTGCTGCTTCCGCTGTCTGCACGACTGAGGGGCAACGATGGGCATGGGACCAGCTCAAGGGGGGAGCAACGAGCCAGACTCGGCGATACGGTCGCCGATAGGTCGGCGATGGGCTCCCGATGGCGAATCCGCACGTTCCTGGGCGGGGTGGGCTATCAGTTGGCGATCACTTGGCGACTGGGGGTCGATGTATTCCCCTGCTTGAACCTATCCCCGACCCTGAAATTTCGGGCCATAGCTCGGGTCTTCGGCGGCCGTTCGGGACGATCTGGGCACCCCGGGAACGCTCTCGGCGAGGCGCAGCTGCTGGAGAGCGCCATGAGGCTGGAAAACCACCGACAACCAACGAACATGGGCGAGAACCTCGAAGCTCGAACCTGTCGCCCCCCCCAACCTATACCCCCCAACGTTGCCTCCGCTTGGCCTAAAAGCCGCCGAAAACCAACGAAAATGCCCTCGAACCTAACCTGTCGCCCCCTCCTCGAGCTTCCCCCTCCCACGATGCCTCTCTCGACTTCCCAGCCGCCGAACACAAACGAAACTGGGCAACGAGTCCAAATCTCTAACCTCGAACCTGTCGCCCCCCCTAGCCTATCCCCCCCAACGTTGCCTCCACTCGACCTCAGAGCCGCCGAAAACCAACGAAAATGCCCTCGAACCTCCAACATGTCCTGTCCCCCCTTATCCAACCCTTCCCCACGCTGCCTCTCTCGACTTCCCAGCCGCCGAAAACAAGCGAAAACGAGCCGAAAGCCTCAAATCTCGAATCTGTCACCTCCCTTCTGAGCCTTCCCCCCCCCCAACGTTGCCCCCACTCGACCTCAAAACCGCCGAAAACCAGCGAAAATGCCCTCGAACCTCGAACCTGTCGCCCCCCCCTGAGCCTATCCCCCCGCCCCAACGTTGCCGACGCTCGACCTCCCCGCCCCGGGCGCCGGGTAAGCCGCCGCGGGAGGGTGGTAGTCCAGGGGCGCCGGCGGGGCGCCCTTGGCGCGCCGCGCGCTGCGCTTCTTGGGGTCGAGGGCCTTGCACACGCGCAGCCGCCGGCGCGGGCGAGGCGGCCACGAAGACGACGAAGGGCGAGAGGGGCGACGACGAAAGGCGAAAGGCAAGGAAACCGGAGGAGGAGCGCCACCGAGAGCCAGCACTGCAGCAACGTCAGGGCGGGGTGTTCTGCGTCCCCAGATGCTTGTCCATTTGTCAGGGGCCGCTCCCCTGTACCACCTTGCGGGCCAGGCAGACGGAGGAAGAGGAGACCACGTACCAGGTAGACGAGCTTTCGGAGGAGGAGGAGGAGGAGGAGGGCGGTTCGCGGCGGGCGGAGGGCGCGAGCGGAGCGACGACGAATGGCGAGCGAGAAGCTGCGTGCCTGTCGCGGCCGAGGGGCAAGACGGCCCCAAGGCGGCCAGCTGTGCCCCCGGTGCGGCCCAAGAGGTCCTGAAGACGGCCCCAAGGGGGCGTCCAGAGGGAGCGAAGCCAAACGCACAAGTCTGGGAGCCTTCCGCGAGACACCCGTGAGGCGCTGCCCAGGGGCCGGACCCCGGGCAACCGGTGGCAGCGGGTGACCGTTTCTTGACTTTCGCTTCGGGTGAATCTGGGCCGTGCCAGCCTCGTCGGCCAGCAGCTGGCCCCCTGGCTCCGCCAGGGGCGCTGCCGATGCCGACGCGGCTCCACCGCGCCGAGCCCCAGAGGGAGAGGAGGGGGGGGGAGGGAAGACTTGAAGAAGGAGGTTGATGAAAGGAGGAGTCTAGGCAAAATAGCGGCCCTGCCAGAGAAGGAGGTACAGTCAAAATTAGCCATGAGGATATAGTTCAAGGATGCAAGACCCTTGGAACACGACGAAGGGAACCAAACACGCGCCAAAAGCCGAAAACGCGATAATGATGGCCAGAGCCGAAGGATGCAAGGTGCTCTTGCGAAAAGGGCCCATCCTCAACGCTGGCTTTGACAATGAGGGACGCTGCATTAGGAGCGAAGGGGCCTTTCTGGCCACCGCGAGCCGCCTCCGCTAGGCGCATAGCCATCGAGACAGTGAAAGAGTGGGATGTTTGGCTGACGCACTTGAGGGAAGTGGCGGTGGAGTTCGGCGGGCTCGCAGCGCTACCCATCCGCATCAGGGACGGCTCGCCCAAGTTCTGGAAGACGAGTACCCTGGCGTGCAACCTTTGAAGAAACTCGGCCACGAACAGGTTCCCCGACCAAGATCGAAGGATCGGCCCGAAAACCACCTCCCCTCCCGAATCTAGAGTGGTCCGCACTCTGGCGCGATGTAAGGATTCGACAGGGATGGGGGAGTGAGCGGCGGGCGGGGAAGCCCCACCCGCCCCGCCCGCCGCCCCCGGCGGCCGCTCGAGCATCAAGCAGCATCACCGGCAAGAGGAGGAGGGCGGCGACGGGAAGGAGGACGACCACGGACGCCGAGAAGCAGGAGCGGGGGACGACCGCAGCCAGCTTCGGCGTTATCCCTGTCCCCGAGATTGACCAGGCCCCAAGGCGACGACAATCTCAGGGATGCGCCATCGGGAACCGAGGGAATCCTTCAGATCGGCGTCGAGATCAGGTGATGCCAATCATAGGGACAAGGATGTGTCTCAGGCTGGTAAGACCACGGGCGGCTGGCAGGAAGGCGGCGATGGGGGCGAGCAGGAGGTGGACGGCGCGGGCAGGAGGAACGCGACGACAAGGAGGGGGCACGACGAGGAGGAATGGAATGGACATGGTAGGCGGACAAGCCATCAAAAGCCAGCATGAGCGTGCCACGGGATACTGCCCAACCCTCCAATCCCAAACCTGGGCCCGAAGGTCCAGAAAAGAGTCCAGAAGGGAGAGGCAGGATCCGCGGGCATGCCCACGGCAACCGGTTGTTTTTCTTCTCGAGGAGAAAGCTGCCGTCCCAGCGGTTCCATGCTCCACGCGCTACGCAACACAGCGCCCCAGCGGCGCAAGTCTCAGGGGACGACAGCTTGATGCGAACCCATGAGAATCGATCGCGAGCGTGACGGCGAAGTCCTCTGGACCGCAAGAGCGCGCTGGCCACGAGCAGCTGTTACGGAGGAGAAATTGGAAAAAAAGAGGAGGACGGTGGGGAGGATAATCAGCAGCATCGGCGGAATGGTTGCAGGGGCTGTGGTGAGTTCCAGCAAAACGAGTTATCGAATGAGATGGTTTCTCTGACGGACGGTATGGATTTGGATATGGCCCAAGATCTTCGATTCAATTCCAGAACCAAATCTAGACCGCCCACATGTCCCTTGACATTGTTTGGTTCGGCTTCCGACGGGGGGCCTAAAGAAAACGAGCGGGCTGGCACGTGGACAGATGATTTCTCTAAATTTTCGGTTTGCCCAATTCCATAACCTGGCCTCCGCTTGATACGTCTCTCACTACACACGCCAACTCACCACTGCCCCCCAGCAACACGTCGATCTTCACACCGCACCGTTCTCCCTGGAGCACCAGCACTTGATCTAGCACTTGTTGGCCAGGACAACACTGCATGCATCCTCAGTTCTCCCCACTCTTCCTGCGCCCACCCTGATCGTGACGATTCACGGCGACCAGCTAACCGCGCCTTGGCTGGCTGGCGTCCGCCCTGATTCCTGTTCAGCTTCGCGACGCTGCCCGGCCCGCCGAGGCCGACAGGGGGGCCACCGAGTGCGGGCGCCTGCCGACATGCGCCGGGCGTCGCCGTCAGCCGTCGTCGTCCTTCTCCTTGCCCCTCCTCACTCCTGGTCGCTCCTTCCCCTCCTTGTTTACTTTCTTGCGTCTAACGTTGCCCGAACTATAGGTCAGGGCCTGAAGCGCTCGTGTGAGAAACAACACAAGGCCGACTTCGGCCAGCGACAAACAAAGTTGGCCTGGCAGGCTAAGCAGAAAAACGAACGGGCGCGAAAGGTGAAGCAAAAGACAGTGTGCCCTCAGGGCAAAGAGCATGCGCCAGCCAAGCATTGAGGTAAGGGGGGGACCTATCCGATACGAAACGGATGACAACATAACTAGCCGGCCGCTCTGCGGTTGATCGGGAATTTCTGTATATAGAAGAAGGTGCGTGCGCTTGTTGGCGAGGGTGAGGATGAGGTTCCTCCTCCTCCTCCTCCTCCTCCTCCTCCTCCTCCATCCTTCTCTTGCCTCCGTCTGTCCTCCTCCACCCCACAGCTCCATCATCTTCCTCCTCCTCCTCCTCCTCCTCCTCCTCCTCCTCCTCCTCCTCCTCCTCATTCCTCCTCTGGGCACCTCCCCCGGGGCGCGGATCCACCGGATCTGTCCGGATCTGTCCGGAAACGGTGCCGGAGGCCGCTCTGGGCTCCTCTGGGCACCTCCCCCGGGGCCGGTTTTGTGAGGATGTCTCAAGCGAGGGCGCCGGTTTGGGATTCGTCGGCGGATCCACCGGATCCAGCGGATCTGTCCGGAAACGGTGCCGGAGGCCGCTCTGGGCTCCATGGGCACCTCCCCCGGGGCCGGTTTGGGATTCGTCGGCGGATCCACCGGATCCAGCGGATCTGTCCGGAAACGGTGCCGGAGGCCGCTCTGGGCTCCTCTGGGCACCTCCCCCGGGGCCGGTTTTGTGAGGATGTCTCAAGCGAGGGCGCCGGTTTGGGATTCGTCGGCGGATCCACCGGATCCACCGGATCTGTCCGGAAACGGTGCCGGAGGCCGCTCTGGGCTCCTCTGGGCACCTCCCCCGGGGCCGGTTTTGTGAGGATGTCTCAAGCGAGGGCGCCGGTTTGGGATTCGTCGGATCACCGGATCCAGCGGATCTGTCCGGAAACGGTGCCGGAGGCCGCTCTGGGCTCCTCTGGGCACCTCCCCCGGGGCCGGTTTTGTGAGGATGTCTCAAGCGAGGGCGCCGGTTTGGGATTCGTCGGCGGATCCACCGGATCCACCGGATCTGTCCGGAAACGGTGCCGGAGGCCGCTCTGGGCTCCTCTGGGCACCTCCCCCGGGGCGGTTTTGTGAGGATGTCTCAAGCGAGGGCGCCGGTTTGGGATTCGTCGGCGGATCCAGCGGATCTGTCCGGAAACGGTGCCGGAGGCCGCTCTGGGCTCCTCTGGGCACCTCCCCCGGGGCCGGTTTTGTGAGGATGTCTCAAGCGAGGGCGCCGGTTTGGGATTCGTCGGCGGATCCACCGGATCCACCGGATCTGTGCGGAAACGGTGCCAGAGGCCGCTCTGGGCTCCTCTGCTTTGTATATTGTTGCCTTTGTGCGTTTTGTAAAGTAGTTATAAGTACGCCGCAACCCATTCATAACAGTATGACAATGTATCTATAAGTGTGTTATAGTAGTTATAAAACGTCGTAAAGTCGATTGGTTTTACAACTCGTTATAAAGCTTACAACCGTGTCATAAACGAGTTACAGAACCCAACTTAGTTTGCAGCTGTGGAATTGTGCCAAATTATAAAACAAATTACGGGGCATTTATGTTGAGTTGTGAAAATTAACAAAAATTAACATAAACTAACATGGGGCAAGATTTGGGGTATATCATCGTTCGGGGGCTGTTGTCGGGTTGTTGCTGTGTGCTCGTGCGTGGTGTTGTGCGTTGTGTGTTGATGTGTGTCGTTGTGTGTTATCGTTGTGATATTGTTGTGTTGTTGTGTTGTTGTGCATTGGTGTCGGTGACGCTGCTGTTGCGATTTGCGACGCTGCAGCGGGAGCAACATTTGTGAAAGGACCGAAAACAATCGGATGTGCAAAACACACACACACGCACACATCAATACCCAACACAACGGAATCCTGTGTGGAAAAAGCCGTACGCGGAGGGGTGCCGAATATCGCCCAGACATCAGCAGGCCTCCTCATCCTCCAAAGCCGTTGTGGTGCAAGTCGTCCTACGTGGTCCTCGTGCGACACACGTGCGGAGCGGTGCTGTCAGGATGGCGGACTCGGCCACCGTCGTCGCGTGCCCGACCTTCGAGTTCACGTGCATCGAATGCGGAGAGGAAAAGGTCGACAGGGTTGGAATGCCTCTCTTTCTCCATGTCTTTTTCGTCGCCATACATCCCTCCTCCCGTTACTGCTCCTGGTCGGTATCATCCTCGTCCTCCGTCATCGTCGTCGTCGTCCCGCTCATTTTTCTCGCCCTCATCGTCCTCATCAAACCCTTCTCCTCCTACTCATCTTGCTCAATCTCGTCCTCGTCCTGTGTCGTTTCCTTTTTCATAGCAATGTCCAACCACCCTCCCCTATATATAAGTATGTGTATAAATATAAATACGTGCGTGTATACATATGACGCACATAGGCTTACATATATATATATATATGTATATATACATGTTCACATACATATACATATGCATTGCATATTGTTGTTTGCCCTGTCCCGCCAGGTCAACGGTTCGGTGGCGTACACGAAGAAGAGCGGCGAGAAGATGAGGCGCTGCACCGACTGCAACAGCTTCCGCGGCAAGAGGGACCGCTGGTTTTCGGAGGAGCCGACTCTCAAGCTGGCCTGGAACTCGTACACGGACGAGGAGAAGAAGCAGTTCGTTACGACGCACCGCGATGATCCCACGCAGTTGCAGGCGATCTTGCAGACGAGGTCGTCGGAGGTGAGGTCACAGCGCGAGTCGGAGACTCGCAGGGGCAATGGGAACTACATGGACGAGCAGGACGTTTGGGACAAGTACTGGAACAAGCCCGACGTGGCCAAGGCCATCATCGACAAGAGCGACTCGTTCACCTGCAGCATTACCAACAGGGTGATGTATGAGGACGTCTCGTACTCCAGGACCCGCGAGAAGACGGACGCGAGGGAGAGGAAGTCTGAGCTCGACATCCAGTCCGAGCGCACGCTCAAGAAGACGAGGGCGGTCAAGGCCGCCGCCCCGACCAGTGGAGGAGCTCCTGGAGGCGCAGCGGGGGCCGAGGGCGCTGCTGCGGCTGACCCCGCTGGCGAGGGTGGCGTTCCCGAGAAGCCCGTGCCCCCAAGGAGGAAGAAGACGGTGACGGCTGCCCAGAAGACGACGCTTGAAAAGGCAACGCTGTTTTTGGCGAAGCAGGAGGAGACGCTGATGATGAACCTTGAAGACGCTACGAAGCGCAAGGAGGTCGACTTCATGCCAGCGTACGTCATCAGGGGCTGCAAGACGGCGGTAGCAGAGATCGCCTCGGTGGCCGCCGAGGTCGACATCGTGCGCGCGGACGGGTTCGAGCCTCCAGATGACTTCAAACTCGGCGACCTGAATGCGAAGATCAAGGCCCTCAAGGAGACTTGCAAGGAGATGATCCGCAAGCTGCTGCTTCAGCGCACCGAGGCGCAGGAGGAGATGCAGCTGCAGGGGATCGGGGACACCATCGAGGAGACGGCCGAGACGGTGAAGGCGGAGGAGAAGGAGGCGCGTTGAGCGACGGATGGACGTGGCCCCAGGGCTGCGCGAGTGCGCGTTGGCCACGCGCTCAGCTGGCCACCAGCTCAGGCTCGCGATGTGCAGCTCGGTCACAGCGCGCGCCTGGAGACAGACATCGGTCTGCAGCAAGTCGTGGGGTGAACCATCTCTTGCACCTGTCTCTGTGGCTTTTTTTTGTTTTTGGTTTTGCTGTGCGGTAGCGCTTCCATGCGCCCGAGCACTCTCGCTCGCAGTGCAACTACTTGCTACTTGGCCCTCTACTCGACTCGACCCTACTCACTACATGGCACTCTACTCTACCCAACGCACGCTCCCTCTGCCTCTCTCTCTCTGTTTCTATCTCACGTTCACGGCCTGTGTAGTGGTGTATATGTGCACCGCCAGCTCAAGTCTAGCTAGCTTCCCAGCCAGTACCTCAGTATATCGTGTTCGTCGCGACAGACCTTATACACACGTGCACAGCTAGGGGTGTAGGCTCGCTTCTCAGGTGCAGCCCGTGGGATTTCGCTTGCCCTGCCTGAGAGATGCCTCGCAGTGCAGTCTGACCGACGACGGCAATAGAGAGCGTGAAAAGGGAATGCGTCGGGATCTGGTGGTTCTCTGTTCGCATCTGGTGGCTCTCTGTTCGCATCTGGCGATTCTCTGTTCGCATCTGGCGGCTCTCTGTTCGCATATGGTGGTTATCTGTTCGCGTCTGGTGGTTCTCAGTTCGCGTCTGGTGGTTCTCTGTTCGCATCTGGTGGCTCGCTCTTCGCATATGGTGGTTCTCTATGGCATATAAGTCATATGCGTGTAACTAACATTGTATATGCCAATCCCAAGTCGCCTCCTCATAAGTCCAAGGAGGTGCCCGAGCATCCGTCTTGAGTTTTGCAGGGGTCACATCCTATACCCTCCTCGCCTTCCTCTTTCCTCCTCCTCGTCCCCTTCCCCGTCGTCGTCGTTCGCCCTCCTCCCCTTCTCCCCCCTCATCAGTTCCCCCGTCCGAGTCCCGAGCCCTTTCTCCACGAGACCCCGTGCACTTTATCGGGAGACCCCCCGCGCCCCCGCGATGGCCGCGCCGTCGGGCCCCGTCTACGACGCTCTGGGTGCTCTTCATCAGGCAGACGGGATAGGAGGGATAGGAAGGGTTGGGATGGATGGAAGGGACGAGGGCAGGGATGGCGAGGAGAGATGAGGAGAGGGTAAGCGCAGGCTGTGGACGATCAGCACCTTCGGATCCAGAACTTAGAGCGCTGGTTATTCGAGCGGGGCGTCGAAGCAGCAAAGCTCGAGGACGAGAGGGACAGCGCCCTGCAGCAGGTGAAGGATCTGGAGGATGAGATGAGGAGGCTCAGGGAGAAGAAAGATAAGAAGAAGAAGAAGAAGAAGAAGAGGGACGACGTTTCGACAGCGAAGCAGCAGAAAACCGAGGCGACCGATTCGGACTCGGACTGAGGGGCGCAAGATTAGAGGCTAGGGGGGGGAGGAGGAGGAGGAGGAGGAGGAAGAGGAGGAAGACGTGGTCGGAAGAGAAAGGGGGGATGTCAGGGATACTCATGTGCCCCCTGAGCTACCGCACAAAAAGAAGAGGATGGGGGAGGAGGAGGAAGGGGAGGAGGGGAAGGGGAAATATTCGGATTCGAAATCGGAACGATTGCGAAGCAAGATCAAATATTTAGTTTGCAACGAGTGGTACCGATAAAGGGATGGGGGAAGAGGGCGACGACGAGGAGAGCGAGGAGGGCGAGGCGGTGAAGGAGGAGGGGGATGAAGAGGGAGCGGGGCGCGCGCGGGGGCCGCGGAGCAAGCCGGGGGCCGGCGCCAGGAGGTCGAACCTCCTCCCCCTCCCCCTGCTCCAGGGCTCAGGGAAAAGCCTGCTCCCCCTGCCCCAGCTCGGGGAAAGCCCGCGCTTCGTCGTCGTCGTCGTCGTCCTCCTCCTCCTCCTCCTCCTCCTGGACTCCTCGGGTTCTGGGTCCTGGTACCTGGGTCCTCGTCCTGGAGATCCCTCGGGCCCTGGATCCTGGACTCCTCGTGGGACCTGGGACCGCGCCTGGCCCCCCTCGTCGTCGTCGTCGTCGTCGTCGTCGTCGTCGTCGTCGTCGTCGTCGTCGTCGTCGTCGTCGTTGGAAGCGATGAGGGCGGAGGAGGAGGAGGAGGGAGGAGGAGGAGGAGGAGGAGGAGGAGAAGGATGGGGGAGCGGAGGAGGAGGGGGAGGGTGAGGAGGCGGAGGAGGAGGACGATGAGGAGGAGGAGAGGAGGACGATGGAGGATGGGGGACGAGGAGGAGGAGGAAGAGGAGGAGGAGGAGAAGAAGGAGGAGGAGGAGGAAGAGGAGGAGGAGGAGGAGGAGGAGGATACGTCGACTCGATCTTCACTGCGCAGGCCCCGTGCCCCCGCCTGCTGCGGGAGACAGAGGGGTGGGGAAGGGGAGGGGAAGGGAAATGTGGGGGCGGGCATTTTTTTCGTGGCCGTAAGGCCACTTAGGGCCAAGGCATAAACCAGCTGGCCTTTTCTGAGGCCCCTTAAGGGGCCTTCCGCGGCCCCTCATGGCCCCTTAGGGCCAAGCCAAATCTCCGCTGGCCTAGGTAGAGGAGGAGGAGGAGGTGGAGGAGGAGGTGGAGGAGGTGGAGGAGTAGCGGCATTTTCCCCTGGCCGTAAGGCCCTTTAGGGCCAAGGAAAAACACAAGGAGGCGGAGGAGGAGGAGGAGGGGGATCTCGATATGTTCCGTGGCCGCAAGCCAAACGGAAAAAAAAAGATACATAAAAACATCCAGGGGCGCGTTCTGACCAGGATATCCTGGGGTGCGTTCTCACCAGAACCTTGAGGGGAACCCAGCCGTGGCGACGAGAAGCCTCTCGGAGGCCCATAAGATCCTCCTCATCGGCGGTACCTCGGCGGGGTGAGGGCGCATAGGTATCCCTGCCATCAGTGGGGTAGGGGCGCATAGGTATCCCTACCATCCCCTCCTCCTCTTATCCGCCCCCATCCCCCACCTCCTCATCCCGCTACCTCCCAGCGTGCAAGTCGCGTGCAAGTGCGTGCAAGTGCGTGCAAGTGGGGCCCCGTGCAAGGGCGGACGTGCACTTGCACGCTGGATGTGGGGGGTGTCTCGCGTGCAAGTCGTGCAAGTGATCTGGGGCACCCAGGCCGAGGCCGCACGTCGCGTGCAAGCGGCGTGCAGTTGCACGCCGCCCCTTGGGCCCCCTCCCTCTGTTCCAAAGCTGGTTGGGCTCAAGCTCTGAGTGATCGGTGGCCGTCGGGACCTCTTCGCCAACCAGGATGGCGGCTCCTCCGACCGCCCCGATCGTGCGTTTCGTTCGTGCTCGGCTGGAGTACATGGCGTGCATGGCAGATGGGGGCCAGGCCATGGAGCCAGTCGCGAAGAAGGCCACCGAGGGCATCGTTGGCCAGATTGGTTTGACCTCCTTGGGCGTCGAGGAGAGCACTGTGGTCGCCCAGATGGTCAATCAATGCAACCACTTCTCGGACGGCGATAAGGCGAGGATCAGGGATGCCATCGAGTCCAGGACGAATATGCAAGGCAGTGGCCATGCCGCCCCCCAGGCGCCGAAGCAGGTCGCACTCAGCCTCCAGATCTACCTGAAGGCTTCGGACTGGGCGGCATTCGAATCTGACGCTCCGCCCAAGGTGAAACTCTACCACATGGCTGGCGCCATGATCCGCCTTCGCCTTGTGAAGGCCAATGAGCGCAGCTACTCGCACGCGATGAGCCTGGCCCTCTTCAAGCATGCGCCGTTGCAGACGCAGGAGGCCTACAACCACACCATGGACCTGAAGGAGTTCGTCCGCAGAGGGGCATCTTCGGTCGATAAGGGCCCGATCACCTACCCCAACTGCATGGAGACGTTCAAGACCGAGAACCCTGCGCTGTACGATGCGTGCTACGCCTTCGAGGCCCCCGTCCCGTCGAAGCTCGACGAGGTGCAGGTTGGGATGCTGAGTGGCCCCTGCAGGGACACTCATACTGGGGTCGAGCGCAAGCGCGGCTCGTCGTCGAGGTCGGCGGGTAACCCCATGAGGAGCATCTTCGGGTCCGAGCCGCCACCTGCCCAGGGGCGCCAGCTTGCGCTCCCAGGGCCATCGGGCTGGCCGCACCATGAGTGGCAACCACAGCCTCAGCCCGCGCTGCCCTGGTACGGCTCAGCCTATGGCGGCCCCGAGCGCCAGTCGACGCCCACTCCATCGGCTGGCTATCCAGTGCATGGTGCCCATTCGCAGCCATACGGTGCCAGTTCGCAGCAGCAGGTGGGCTGTCCCCAGCAGGGGCACGCGCCGCATCCCGCGCATGCGGCGCCCGCGGCGCCCGCGTCGGAGCTGCCTGCTTCGGGGCCACCTGCCGAGGGCCGCCCGCGTGCTCAAGAGCCACTTCCTTCGGGGCCGCCTGCTGCCGAGGCGGGTGCCGCACCAGCCGCAGCAGAGGGTGACAAGGAGTCGAAGCTGAAGGACCTGACGCAGAAGATCAAGAACCACTTGGCGACGAAGAGGCCCGCGGCCGCAGACCGCGACGATCGCGAGCCTGGTGAGGGAGGGACTGATGACGAGGGCGAGGTTGATGACATGGAGGATCCCACCCAGAAGGCGGCGATGAAGCGCGCGGGCAAATCTAAAGCAAAGGCTAAGGCCAAGGCGAAGAACTCTCCCAAGGTTAAGGCCAGTAGCCAGTCCCAGCCCAAGTGCACGCCCTCGCCCAAGGGGAAGGGCACCATCAACCACGAGCTTCAGTTCTCGGCGAAGCAGTCGAGCCCGCCCCGCTACCATGGCTGCGTGACCATCTACACGATGACGCGGGCGCGCACCTGGAGGGTGAAGCCAGGCGAGGGGCGCCGCGACGACTGGGCGTTCCCTTGGGGCGCGAACCAGGCTACCATGAAGGCGCAGTGGACGAAATTGGTCACCCTGGTGAAGGACATCAACAGGAACCCTGGTAAGTACGAGGAGCGCGCGCGCTACCGCCGCTAGGCTGGCTCGTCCTCGTCTCTCAGCTGCTCGGGCCAAGCAGTTTGTTTTTTTCTGTAGGATTGGATGATATACATCCATTGCGCGTGCGAGTTCAGGATTGTGGGTTGGCCTGCGCTGCGGCGTCGCTTTCGGATCGCAGTGGAGCATGCGCTAGCACCGAGTTGAAACGTGGAAATGCCGCCCCCATAGATAGGGAGGGGGCGAGAAGCAGATCACGGGGGGAGGGAGGGCAGTTTGAAAGAAACCGAGGAGGAGGAGGAGGAAGAGGAGGGGGAAGGAGGAGGAGGAGGAGGGCTAAGGAAGCCTATTCAATATTCAAAGTGCATCAGCGATGCGGCAATACACTCTCCCGTCCGCTAACGGCGCTGAAATACGCCCTCCCGCCTTAGAACCGCGCTGTAAAACGCCCCCTGCATTATGCCGATGCTGCAATGCACACCGCGTCATAAACAAATGCTACAATACACCCTCCCGTCCGCGAGTGATGCTGCAATGCGCCCTCCCGTCATATGACGATGTTGCAATACACGATCAAATGTACTACCGATGCTGCAATGCACCCTCCCGTCCTTCCACGATGCTGCAATGCCGTTCCTCGCATCATTCGGACGTCCGAAAACGATTGTTTAGCCTGGTTTATTTTGATGTGTTGGCTTCGTGCCCCGCCTCCAGCCCCGTGTCCTTTCCGTAGTCGTTCTGGCTCAAAGAATGGCGCGAGCCGTCATAGACGGCCCAGGCCTCAGAGACTTGTCCAGCGCACTTCTGGATGCGAACGTTGCCTCGCGCGGCGTCCTGGAGTCTTCCAGGCGCGCGCGGGCAGTGCAGGGGCTTCGGACTTTCTCTGTGAGCCACTTGCAAGCGCTGCGATCGCAGGAGTTGCATTCACTTGGGGCGACGGAGACACCCTACGGCACGCTTATTCAACGAGATGTGGCACAGGGGAAAAAAGGCCCCATCGAGATCGAATACATATCGCCACAGGCATGGCTTTTCCATGCGGCAGAGACTTTCCCTGGGTTTAGCTCATTGTTGTCAGACTGCACACATGGCTCGGTTGAGGGATATCTTCGGATAGGCGTTTACTTTGACAAGGCCACACCTGGCAACGACAAGCGGCCAGACGCGGGGAGGAGCGC